ATTATCGATTAAAAACCTTATCGAAAGCTAGTTATTTAATTATATCTCCTACACCTTTAGAGCTAGAGCTTCTAAATTTTAAACGTAGACTAACGTGTATTTTACATAATTTCGGTTTTTGTTGCAACCCCCACCCCTATATCCACCCCCTCCCCCTCACTTCTGTAAAAGGCGTATTTCCAATACTAGAAACTTGTGCTTTGGAATGTACACACATTTGAACATTATGATTACGTTCTGAAAGTTACATTAGGATTGTACGTCTAGAAATTAAATCTTTTAACAAACAATGCTTAACCTATTTTATAGAATATATTCTGATCTCTAATAACTTTTCTCGTTTTGCAGCCGGAGCCCAAGATTGATGAATCAAATGCAATGAAGCAATTTGTGCCGTGCTTTCAGCCTTTCAATGCGAACGGCCAATCGCGTTTCTATGAATGCAACGAGATAGAAAGACAATGGCAAGAGGAGATGCGCGACAAAATGGAAGCTCAATACAAAAACCAAGCGGAACATCAACTACAAAACAACGTGGAGCACAAAATGGAAACCAAAATGGAACCCAAAATGGAAAACAATATCGGAAATCCGGTGGGAAACTCGTACGAACAGTTTCGAGCACCGCGTCGCGTCGTGCAACCCATCAATCCGATGCCGACGGCTAGGCCACCCAGAAACGATACCAATTATTATAAAACAAACTTTACAGGCTATAAATACGGTCAGAAGTCGTGGCGTGAGAAGCCCGAATTTGTTGTCAAGGAAATTCTGAAATCTCCCAAGCAAATTCTTCAGCTTGCCAATAAGAATGCGAAGCCCGATGATACTCAAATGAACGACTCCAATTCGCAAACGCGCCAGACTTCTGTGCCAAAAATCGATTCCCATTTAGAGACAAGTCAAACAGTCAACTCACACAACAAGGAACAATTGTCGCAAAGCTCCGACAATTTGATAGCTAACAAAGCTCCAGAAAATGCTAGGGAAACCCACACTGTGCAGGACTCAAATTCAACACTTGCAGTTACTGAAGGCAACTGCGTATCTCAGTCTGAGGCTGTGCAGCCAAAGACACCGGAGAGTCCGAAAGCAGCCCAAGGTCCTTTACAGGAGCCATCGACCCAAGCGAATCGAAAGACAGAACCCAAGAAAAACTCGGAAGACTCGGTAGCTTCAACAAATACAATGAAGCGATCCAATTCTAAGCAGATTCAGGAGCCAAAGGGCGTGCCACGGATTTCCAGAAAGAAAGCTAAACTTTTGGCACGTAAGAACCAAAAGCAACTCCAGCTGCAGGCTGATAGATTAAGCCCAAGGAAACTACAATCGGGAACGCGCTTAGCTCCTGTCATCTATAATCTATCAGGTCCGGAGGGTCTGCGCGAGGGGCTATCTACTCAGCAGAAGTCGGATGTAAAAGTGAACCCATTAGCGAAACCAGGTCAGAGCAAACCAACAGCTCCCGTGATGTCGGGGGATGCTCCAAAGGTGCCCTCGGCATGCATTAAACCCGCCGAGAGTACGCCGCCAGCAAGCCCAAAAGAGCCCAAGCCTGTAGTTCCGGACAAGACATGCCGGTCCCCAAGCCCAAAGGTTGACAATCGCAGCTCGACCCAAACAGCAAACGAGGCAACTTCTTCTACAAAGGCTCAGCTTAAGTCAGCTTCAGCTCAGGTTAAAGTGGACCAAGAGGACGATCTGAGTTCCAAGTGTGTTACTCCAACCAGAGCATACAACCCTGTTTTGGCACCAAGCAGGCAAAGCCGATCTTGGCGCGCGACCAATACTCGTAATAACCGAAGGGCTACTAACTCAACAGCTCCAGCCAAACAAAAGGGCTATCCGCCCAGAGTTCCAGGAGCTCCCACGAAAAAGAAGTCCGCTATAGTTGAAGTGAATAAATCATCCGAATCTGCTCCATTGAATAAGCCAGTTGTCGCACAGCAAGCAACGAATGCTCGCCCAAAAGCAAAAGAACCTATTATTATACAGTCGGTGGAGATCATCAGGCTGCCAACAGCTGATATAGAAGCTGCTGGAAAAGATTCCAAAGATTCCAAAGACGATATGAAAATACAAACCATCTTATCTACCGGAGATTCGGCTACGGCTGAGCTCGAGGAAAATGATTCGAAGCCGGATGAAACTGGCGAGAAGTCGTCAGAATTGGAGGAGAATGAAAACAAAGTGTCTGAAGGAGATGAAACAGAGGGTGCTGTATCGGTAGAGCTAGGGAATAGTGAATTGATGCCAATTGAAGAGGCCGTGGAGTCCAAGCAAACAGCTTCCGAGGAGACGGATACAAAGACAACTGAATCGAACTTGGCAACACACTCTGATAACCGGGAGGAGTTGGAGACAGGTGAATCGATGGAAACGCAACCACTTGGTGAACAGGTGGAGTCCAATCAGGTAGTAGATGAGGCAGATTCTGAGGCAATTCAGTCGTCGGAATCAACAAACAATACTATATTAATGGAGGTGGAGAAAATATTAAAAACATTCATTAAAGAGGTCGTACAGCAGGTGGAGCATAAAATGTTACATGAGGAGCTTCCATCAACATCCCGTGATGTGAACGAGGAGCTTGAGGAAGGCAGAGTTATGCCAATTGTAGCGACTCCTGAGGAGCGAGCTATAGAGGAGGTGGATCTCCATCTGGCTTCACAGGTTACTACGTCGTCGGAGGTAGAGCAAAGCGACGAGCAGGCAGTCTTACAGGGTGTCACACCGGTAGAGCTGAATGAATCTCAACCAGAAGGTGTTACACGCATTGAACTCGATGGGAACAGCCCAGAATCAGCCTCGAACGGTGATACAGTCCAAGTAGAGCGCAATCAAAATGACTTAGAATCGGTATTGGAGGATGCAAATCAGGTGGAGAATGAAGCAGCTGGCCAGGCCAGCTCAGGCGAACCAGGCCAAGAGCTTAATGAGAATGAAGCCAAATCAAAATTTAATGTCAATATAGATACTTCAAAAAATTCAGAAAGTGTAGCAGTAGCGAATGAGGGGGACGTGGTAAATGCCAATCCAGGTGAGTTAGGCGTAGATGAGGCTGACGTGGTGCAGCCATTTGGTATGCAACAGAGGAAACCATCAAAAAAGAAAAGCCCGAGACTCTCGAAAATGGAGCGCAAGGCGATGCGACGCGAGGCGAAGAAATTGCTAATGGAGGCGCTGGCCCAAAAGAAGAAGGAAGAGGATGAAGAGAATGAGAAGAAAGCCCGTGAGCAGGCGAACCAAGAAGAGCAGAAAATACCCAAGGTCGAGAAGAAGAAGGAGGAGGACAAGACATTTATTTTTGAGGATGAGGAGAGCTCGGAGTCAAGTTCCGATGACGATGACGACTTTTCGGACTTGGAAGATATCACCGACCCATATGTGCGACGCAAACTCAAGTCTATCATTCGGAAAATAAACAAGCTGTAATCCATCAAAATTTTTTAACAATAAAGAAGAAGAAGACATATATCATTAAAAATAAATAAACTGTTGCAAAAATGCACTAAAACCGTTAGTTTATGTATAAAAAAGTTCAAAATAAAATGTTTGCTTTTTTACAGTAATGTTCTATTCACTGTTATATGTATTTCATCTAGCAACATCGATTCGTATTACTTGTTACTTGTTACTTATGAATAGCACTTCCGGAAATGGTTCCAGTTTACAGCTAAGCTCGAGTTAGATCTTAGGTCTGTTCCCTTTTCGTATTCATATGCCAGATGAACCAGATTGAAAGCAAGATCTTAATCTAAATTAAATTGTTGTCAACTGTGAACGTCGCAGCTTGTGACAAATGCCGATTTGCAGGGTCTCGGGAAACGCATTCAGGTGTGGCTAGCACTAATTAGGTGTCGAAAGGTTTAACAACGCCTACGAACTCTATTGAAGCGAACTACCTGCTCATTAGCATACCTTGCTTACCTGACCCGACTCCTCGTATCCTCGGCCATTCAATGAGCGCTTCTTTCATTCATATCTCTCTATATTGATCTAGGCATATTCTAATTCTAATCCTTGCCTAAGCAACTTCGCCTTTGTTCCTCCTCCTTTGCTTTCAAATTGCGACAAATGTTGCATTATATCTGATGAAAGGCGCAGGAAGGTGTCGGAAATCCTTTCTCCTATCTCCTCCTCTACCCAAGCAGCTGTGCGGGTGTTTTCCTTTGGTGTCTAGATACGGGATCTACAGATGCAGATCAGTATTTAGGACACGAGCTCTAATGCAGCATTTCTTTACCGTTAACTAATCCCAGCTCAAGCAAAACGCTCATCAGGTAAGTAAAATACAAAAGTTGAAAGCAAAAACTATATGCCGAAAAGCGTCCAAGGGAGCGTATGTTTTTAGTCGTAATCCCGTGCGATGATCTGACTAACGGTGCATACTTCGACGTCATATTATCGATGCATGTAGAAGATTCGTTCAAAAAGTATGTATCTATATAGATATAGATATCTATCTATCTAGATTTTTATGTTCTATAATATGAATTGGGACATAGCTAAAAAGTTAACCAGACTTAGCTTCTGATCACTCACTTTACGCCCAGAGAGAGGGAGATACAATGGGAGTCAAATTTAATGCTAGAGAAAGAGGAAAAGAGTGGGCGTAAAAGAGAGTCAGGTAAAGAGCGAGAGGTAGAGTGAGAAAGAGAGAGAGCGAGAGTAAGCCAATTTAAGTTAGCCGAGTGCTTCAATGTTGTTGTCGTGCTCGGCTGTCAGCTGGCACGTGGACGTTTTACCGGCGTCCACCTCAATTTTTCGGGCCCATCAAACGGGCGACTAACTCATCTAATTGGCAACCGGTAGTCGATGGCCGCTACCACTAAGCGGTGCAGGCCACTCTTTAAGCCTTATCTCTCGCACTTATCGTAATTGCATCGCGAGTGAGCACATTCGACTGCGTCATGTCACATGTCACATGTCACACAGCGCCCGAGCCACTTGCGATGGGAGTTGAGAGAAAGATACGAAAGAGAAAAAAGCCTCTACACAGTCTTCTCAAATCCCATTGTTCAATTTATATTTTCGCTTAGATTTACAAAAATTCATAAAGAGTAACGAGAGAGTGAGAGAGAGAGACAGAGAGTGAATAATTAGTAGAATTTGCAGCTGAGTTGAATAATACATGGCCGAGAGGCACGGAGAAAGAGAGAGCTAAATTGCAAGAGAGATAGGCACAAAAGGAGAGCGACGGAGAGATCGTGAGAGAGAGAGAGAGAAAGAGAGAGAGAGAGAGACATAGTGAGAGCGAGTACTTGGTAACGGCAGAGGTAGATAAGAGAGGGTCAAAATTAGGATAGAGTCGAGGAAGAACCCAAGCTCTGATCAGACAAAGTGAGTCGGGCTTCCCTCAATCTCAAGTCAACCCCATAGCTTATTTATTTTTTGCTTGGACTGTCAATAGTTCAATAATTCATAATAAAAATAGATCTCGAGAGACAGACCGAGAGAGGGATAGAGGGAGAGGGGGTAGAGTGATGGTAGAGTCAAGACGTAGTCGCTACCCCGATCGTGTGTCCTGAATAATTTGCATAAATTGACATTTGCATATGTCTTCGGGGCTGGTGTCTGAAAAGCGAAGTCGAAAATGGAATCTGACTCTCTCTGTCTCTCTCTCTGTCTCTGTCTCTCTCACTCTGTCTCACACACGCATTTCTTCTGTCTTTGGTTGCGTTCGACAGCTGTCGCTCTGTCCCGCCCCTGGCTGACTTTGTACCCTCGGCTCTCAATAGGTGTGAGCGCATGTAATAGACATGCAAGGCGCAAGGCGCAAGACGCAAGATGCCAAATGCAAATCCGAAATCCAAAATGCAAATGCAAATGGAAATTGAGACAGAGAGAAATTCGGTTTTTGTTTTTGTTTTTGTTTGGCTGTATATATATATTTTGTTGTGATATGTAAGTTGATATATATGATATTTGATTTTCAACTTTCCCAAATTAACTGCGTACACCCTCTCCCCGTGAGGCGACTCTACCTTTGTTACCCACTCGAGCCAACAGCTGCCTCAGATTCCCTATGCAAAATATGTATTCCAAGTGAAGTTCTCATCCATGAGGCCATTTAGGCAAGAGCAAAGTTAGCTAGTTGCTAGGATAGTCCTTCAATTGGCCAGTCATGGGCAGTCAATCACATTCTTCAAAATTTCCATATAACATACGTTATAGATATCTAACCTAACTATATACAGAGTAGTCTAAGAAGTTTTCATTCCCAGCTCTTATATATCACAGCTATATTTATATATCTATATACTCTACACATACATCTCAATCTTTCAATATACAGATTCGATTGAATTCTTCTAATTTCACATGAATTCGAGACGTGCCAAATGATAAATAGATCTATCCATAGGGTATCCACTTCTGCTTCATGCATATGCAATGCGAATTGCATTTCACATGCGCTACTAGATCATCATGCATCACAGGATTTCCGAACGATGAAAGAGCTGCAGAGTGATGGAAATGATCTAACAAATGTTGCATATCATTAATGCAAATCTGGGAGATGGGGGAAAGATCTGATCCGCTACTCCTTTTTTCGCACTACCCTTAGCTGTCATGTCGGTGACAAATATTATTATAACAGTTGCAAAACTGATCACAGACAGGCACTGACATAGATAGACAAAGACAGAGAGAGAGAGAGAGAGCGAGACAAGAATATGCTGATGTTAAGATCTGCATTGTCTGGTTCATTAAGTGCGGCTCACTTGACAGCGATTGAGAGAAAATGCAAAAAAGGTAAATTGGAGAAACCCTTGCGTTCGGATTTTGCGGCCTGGGTCGTGAGAGAAAAGAAAACAGCTTAAACTCAACTTCAGCAATGTACCCCCACCCCTCGTCGCCCTCGTCGCCGTCTCGCTCAACCACACCCTGTGCAACCCTTTTCTCGTCTCGCTTCTTGAAGTGCGCAAAAATTTAAATGATGTCAAGGTGGATGAGAAGATGAGTTCGACGAGTTCGATGAGCTGCGATCGGATTAGATTTCAATCATTTGCAATTTTCCGCATTTACGCGAAATGCAGCAGCAGCAGAGCGTGATGAAGAAGGCGGGGGAATTGCCAACGCCTTGAAAGAAAGCATCGCAACACCAAAAAAAAAAAATTGAAATACAAAGGCAACAAATTGATCTTCCGCGAGATGAAACACTTTGTGCCGAAAGACCCTTTGCACATGGAAAGAGTTAAGATATTCTCAACAGAGATTCATTGAGAGAGAGAGAGAGAGAGAGAGAGTGAACGAGAGAAACAGAAGTGCATACTAAATAGGAGATTTAATATGTCAAATTTGAATGATGGCTGAAATAGAAACAGCGAGAGAGAGTGAGAGAAAGAGAAATTGAGAGAGAAAGAGAGAGAGAGAAAGAGAGAGAGAGATAGAGAGAGAGAGAGTTAGTAAACGAATACAAAGGAATACCTATATATAGAGAGAGAAACTGAGGGAGAGACAAGGAGTAAAAGATAGATAGAGAAAGAGTTGATTCACTTATGGCTTATACTTGGATTCTATTGTCCAATGATCTCTAAATTGGTTTACTAGTTCATCAAAATGACTTGTTCAGTTGAACCATGATTAAATGCACAAATTCCATTAGATATTAAACTGAAGTGAACTGACTGAGTATTTCCTTATATGAATGGGTTCTCAGTTCCGGTTTCTCTGTTGATCTTAAATCCTCTGAATATCTTTTCTCACTTCCTCTTCTTCATTTGCTTCGTTCTTTCGAGTGCTGAATCGATCTCTAGCAGCTACTCTCTGCTAAACTATTCAACTGCTTCGATTACACTACTTCGTTATAGACTCTATATCAAGTTATCATCGACTTCAGCTGTAATTGAGTTCAGTTTCTCAACTTCAGTTCAATTTCGGGCTGAATTGGTGCATGCGGCCTGAGCACCTGCTGTCGTGCAATTGGAAATTGAAAATTGGTTCTAATGAATGGCCTGGCACTCTGCAAATAACATGTTATATAGAGCACGGCTCTCTCTCCCTCTACCTCTCTCTCGCTCTCTCTTGCTCTTTCTGTCCTTCCCCTTCCTTTCTTTCTCTCTTTTGAGCTGTTGGTAGTTCCAAATTGATGGCTAAGGACATGCTCGGACGGCCAACAGGTGAGTTTTGCATCTTGAAGGATACGCCTAGTTAGAGCCTTGTATAGCAGAGCGTGAGAGATCAACTACAAATAGGCAGTGGGAGTCAAAGAGAGAGAGAGAGACAGAGAGAGGCGATTGGGATATGCATATTTAGCGCCTGCTTCTAATGGCTTGGAAGGACCCGCAGGACATGCCAATCTAGAGGCGACGCGACGTGTCGACGGTGTCAAGGTGTCTTTGTGCCAGATGCCCCGTAGAGCTATCGCACTCGAAAGCGGGTATATTGCACAGCTGAGGGATTATTTACTTGAATAGCTATATACGGTA